TTTACAAAATCCGATTATAACAAGTACTCCTGAAAAAGAAGATATTCTATTCCCTAAGAGCGAATGGGATACGCCCCCAAAAGAGGGCGAAATCGGTTTTAATATCAACTTTAAGTAAATTATGAAATTAATTAAGAATTTTTTTATGCAGTTACTTAAAAAAAATAAAAAGAAATTTACTTAATGATAAGCATAAAAAAAATAAAATCCGCTTGCTTTTGAAAAATTAAGTTTACTACCATATGACGTAGTCGACGTAGTTTAATGACGTATTGTTCGTTTGACTTTTGAGATGGCCAAAATAAAAGAAAAAGTGCAAAAAGACGATAAAGAAGTGCTGTTAATAGCGCAGGACATTAAATTTGCAAAGTCGCTGGCATGTAATAATAAGAGGATTCGAGATCGAGCCCTAAAAGCCCTTAAAAAATGGTTACAACTCCGACTGTTGAGAATGCGTGTGTATTATAACCTTACTTTTTAAAAAATTTTTTATGAAATTTATATTTTTAACAGCTTTTACGGAAAAAGACTTCATGATAATATGGAAAGGCTTGTATTATCTTACGATATAGTTGATAGGAACATTTACACATACAGGATGTCTAAATAAAATAAAATAATGACTTTCTGTAAAAAACGACCCCTTTTATGTAACTTTTTTAATCGAAAAATAAGAGATTTAATATTAACACTATAGACAACATTTAATAAATATTTCTTGTCTTACAACATTTAATTATTATTATGTACTACATTTTGACTAGAGTGAATTTTAAAATGATTAAAAATATACAAATAGAACTATTACAACCTTATATAAAGACTGATAAAAGGTAAGAACTAACCCAATTTGAAATGTGAACTAAAAAGGACCTTTATTCTCATCCTGTGGTCCACACAAAAGGTTCAAGTCTGTCTTCAATGCTTAGTGAATTATTCAAAGTTTCCATAGATTCGAGCAATTGATTGAGTAAATTATGACATCTGTTTAGCTGGTGAGATAACTCATGTACTTTTGATAATTTTTCTGCATATTTTGCAAAACGTTTCTGCTTATCGGTAGCAGCATTCACCAACCTTGTAATTTCTATGTCATTCTGCACATAAAAAGTACTTATAAATTTATTATGCCAGTGTAACTCCGATGAACACAATTTACCTCTTTTATTTTTTGAGTTAAACTATTTTGTTCTGTTGCAACCAAATTGGCACAACTGTTTAAATGTGTTTCATATTTAACACACAATTTATAAAAAGGTGTGGGATCCAATCTTTCAAATATTTCTGGATCTCTTGCAGCAGGCAAGTGCAATGTACCTCTCATAATTGGCAAAAACATTGGAATGTTCTAAAAAAACGTTATTAGGTGCTTATTGTAAACTTTCAATTCAATTTTAAGACACTTAGTCATTATAGATACCTGTAGTCTCATAATTTCAGGGTCCCTTTCAATATTTACTGCTTGAGCTGCAGGTTTCACTACCACAATATTGTGTACAGGTTTGGAGGGTGCTTTTGTTTGTACTTTTCTAGCTAAACTTTTTTGTTTTGTAATCTGTTGTCTGTTAATAAATTTAGGTGAATCTACGATAAATAATAAGAAAAACTTTAAACCCTAAAACCCTTTTATTAAAAGATCATCGGACCTCCAATTGGTTGATTAACTGTGTAACTTATGTAGGGTAAATCCACATCACTACAAAGACTGGGACCAGGAGATATAGAACGAGGTCTGTTCTCAGTATTGTCTATCACTTCACTGTTATTACCGGGGTTAGCAATCGTATGCTGTCTTTTAAAATTTGAATTCCTTCTACCAGAAGCACCGCTGTTTAAACTTGCTTGGCGAGCAATATTAGAAGAGACTCCTAAAGTGGAATGTTCAGATCCCATTTTCTTTATAGGAATGAGAAAACTTTATTTTCAAAAGAAATTATGCATTAATTAGAAGCTGTTTGATTAGAGGAATATGTAACCTAAAAACTAAACGTCAATATTTATAGGTTATGTTATATTTAGTAGATAATGGCTACAGTACCGCAAAAAGTGTTAGGAACGCATATTTGTTAGTATTAAGAAGTATTGTGTCTTTTTTAATTTCACTCACGATGATT